ACTCATTTCGACGCACGCCACGCCCACTGTGGGCGGGGCTCCGCTTAGGTAATGTATGTTTTTTACTTCTCGAGATATGGTACACCCATCCCAACTTGACCTGGACCCAGTAGGTTGTTGTCCGCTTAATACGGAATTTCGTGACAGACAGACAGACAGACAGACAGACAGACAGACAGACTTAGCGCATTATATATAGTAGGGATAGGATCTTCCTTAGAACGTATTTTCACCGTTTCGCAAATATGACTACACATCACTTGTCGAGAGATTTTACTATAACGAAAAAACGTCACGAATTTTCAATAATGGGATGACCCCCCAATAATCATAAGGAACACAATAATACGTTTTGAAATGCTGGTAGCCAAATTAGCTATTACAGTAGGATCGAAATTCGTCTGGGCGCCGATGATCGACCTTTTCAGCTTTTCGGCTGTTCCATTTTGCTTTACTTTGCTGTGGAACTTTATAACAATTAAGGCCCAATGATTCTCTATTGGAATCTAATTCAGATAACATGGTGGCCACCAGATAACTGCCACACATTTTTTCCTGCAATTCCATCTGGCGTGGAAGGACCGGCATGGACAGCTGCGTTATCGTGCGTATCGTGCGTAAAAATCAAGGTTCGAGAGGGCTGTTGTCGAAAAGATGGTAAAAGTCGCTTCAGAAGGACTTAACGATACCCTATGGAATCCTCGTGAAAGGAAACAAATACGAGCTCTAGCCGCTCAGTCGTTCAAAGGTGCCTCAAACCACAAGGAATTCTCCGCCAAAATTACCTTACTTCGAAACCATCTGCGATTTTCACGGAACCCTCCTGTACCCTCTTTTTCTATCAGATCCACCTAGAATAAACTTTTTCACGTCGATCTCAGATCACCTGTAGCAACGAAACAAGGAGGTAGAGTCCAAGATCGCGAAGGGTCTTAACAGCCACACCATCGCTCATTAAGTTGAGCCCTTTTCCACGGAGAAATGGAGACTTGCGATCTTGTAGCGCTCAAATAATCTTGGAACGCTCTTCATCAATCCGTTGAAGATGTTATTGCTCTGCTGGCTTACTCACCACACGGTGGTTTTGCTCACGGAAGGCCGCATTTCAGTACGGACTTTGTTCGGACTCCTTGTATAATTCGAGAGAAGACACCCAATTCCTCCTAAATTTTGAAGGAAACGCAGTCTTTATTTACCTAAGCGACTCTTCTCTCCGCACTGACCAGGATTTTGCACATAGTCGCTTATGCAGTATGAGCCGGCCGACATGGGAGGAAATTCTGCTCCTCAGCTATCCCACTTCAGTAAGTGCTCTAGCTTGAGCTTGTTACTGGGAAGAGAGGCGAATAACACGAGGTATGGTAAACTCGATGTCGACTGAGCCCACATATTTCCCCGCTTCCCTGATTCCCTTCACGGATCGTGAGAAATGGAAACTTTTTATGAGTGGCCCGATATTCATGAAACGGTGAAAATTCGTTCTAAAAAAAGTTAATTGGGTTACTTGAGGGGGGAATTTGTCAGAAAAACACTATGAAGGTTTTCCGTGATGAGGAATCTAACGGTGATAGCAGCATTTCCAAAAAATGCACAGCAACTTTGGGGTAGCAAAAATTTAGGGTGGACCTATAATTATGAAACGCCTACGAAATGTAGGAGAAGCCGCATCATGGCGCTGTGATCATGCGCCAACGAGCAGTTACTTGGCTGCAAAGAAACGAAGATTGGCTTTTTCACGACGAGAGGTGCCCTGATTGCTGAGCAGGACTTCCGATGCACTCCGCCCTGAAAGCTTTACGCCTATTAGTTCAGGTGGTGACTTAGGCGAGCTCTTGGCTGCTTTGGGTTTTCATTTCGGGTGACCATTTAGCTTTTAGCTGCTGTATCTTCCAATTCTTCAACTCCGACGGATTTCTCTGCTTTTTTCGCTATTGGCGTACCAATGGGCACCTCACGTTTCCTATTGACCCCTCCAGATCCTATCGTAATGCCCTTAAAAGCAACAATCCAGGAACGAATTCGCGGGTAAGGACCACCTATAATGACGTTGCAGGTGAGAAGTTGGTCAATGGAGAAAGAAAAAGTAGAAAAAAACGTCGGGCAGGGGCTTAGACAGGGACTCCCCCCTGCCGTTTGGGGAGACGTGTGTTGGACGAGTTGTCCGAACCTGCCGCAGTACATGCGCTCCAATTGCAACTGCTGGCAAATAGCCATGCATGCTTGCAAATACATGGCTATTTGCCAGCAATCGTAATTGAAGCGCGTTAGTTGCGTTCTTATAGGAATCGACCTCATACAGCGCGGCGGTCCCGCAACGACCGCTAGTCGAGCAAGCGCTCTGCACAGCGTATGTTGAGCGATCCGCCTCGGTATGAGTGATCCGCCCCCTCCAAGAGGACTTCGACCCCTTCCAGCGCATTTTAGAGGTCAGAGACTTCGACCCCTTCCAGCGCATTTTAGAGGTAGGTTTTGAACTTAAAGACATTTCCTATAAACTTTAGTTGGGCTGGGGCATGTTTTGACCGCCTAATGACCAAGTAGTTGAAACCCTGCCTGGACTGTTGCTTTAAGGCCAACCATGGTCCACCGCGGATTATGCTGTGGCAAGTTCAAAGTTATTGGCGATAAAAGGACTGTTGTGTTAGGGGCTCATGCGTCCATCTCCAGGAAACTTTCTGAGCTTCGGAGCCGCAATTTTTTTCAAAAATTGCCTTCTAGTGATATCCTCGGGGAAACAATCAAAATTATTTTTTCCACAAATCGATTGAATTCTCAGAAACAATTAGGTATAGTGCCAAAATTACTTGCCCAAGAACCTTCCCTTCGCCAAGATTCTTTTTCAATTTCACAGAGTAAAAATGTGGGAGATATGCCTTTAACTGGGTTTAGTTGGATAAACAACATGTTTGGCTGAAGGAAGGTAAACCATGATTGCACACTGATGGGATCCTTTGCATAGGCATCCGGAAATCATTTCATTTCAATGTAAACATTATAGCAAGCGGGATGAAGCCGAGTGCTGTTCATATGACATCATGCTTTGGTTGCTGTGCACTCTCGTATGCTTCACAGAAGCCCTGCGTTTTACCGAACCAGACTGGTTCAAATTTTCTGTAAGCTTTGCTCTTTTCCTTCTTATTCCTCTTATTGATTTAGCCCCCAGCCTTTGATGCGCACAACGAGCTCTCGCCACTCGTGCAGTAGTCTGAGATTGAAAATTCGCGGATTAGACTCTGCACGGAACATGTTTGGATTAGGCAATACCTTCATGCCATTTCGGGCAAAATGACGAATTGAGGCTCAGGCCCAGAAACAGAAGAGCCGAATTGAGAGGATGGGTGGTTCATTCTCGTGATCCTCAAGATTCTCATGATCTATTGCTGCAGCTTGATGAAGTGAGGCTCGAAAACTACAGAAGAAGCTTTGGGCGCTATCGCAATATACGGGGCATCCTTTGAGACTAACTGTAAGCGTAGAGGGGGCAGGAATTCCGGGGAGAATGAAAATGGCTGACGCACCCTGGAGTCTTTCCTCCCGCCTAAGGCTTGGTCCCGTTTTAACAAAAAGGCATGTTTTACGCGATTTAAATGCATTGCCACCACAACGTCGCTTTGTTTATCACTGGCACTATGGTAACTTTCCGTTGATAATATCCGTCAGATCCCTTGAAATCATGGATGCTGCTCAAAACGGGAGGCGGTCATATGGCGCGATCCCATTGGCATTAGAGCGCACAGGCCGCAATTGCCCCATCCTGCTGCGGCCGGACAACTCGTCCGTATCACTCAACTACTTGACTTCAGTAATTGATCGATCTGATAATTTGGGTCTCAAAAATCTCGCTGAGTCCAAAGGTCTAAAAAAGGGCGAATAGCTTCGCTGTCCTGATGCAAGAAAGTTTGGGTTAATATTTTTAATAATGAACGAGCAGAATGTGTTGCGCGGACGAGTTGTCCGGCCACTGCAGGATCTGGTAATTACGGCCTTTGCGCTCCAATGCCAATGGGACCGGTCTCAGGACTTCTGTCAACCGTGAGGCTTGGCGGTTCAGCGTTTTGTAGTGATGTCTGGGAGCTCTCACAAGTGCACACTATCACAGCATCTCCTCTTTCTTTATCTCCTTCAAAAGGCTTAGTCCCAATAAGACACAAAGTGTGTGCTTTTCCAGCTACGCTCTCACCCTTTGGTTGACAGAAGCCTTGTAACCGTGGGATCGTGCCATATGACGCACATCCCTTAAAACAAGAGTAAAGGCTATGCTCACTCCCACTAAAGCCCCCCTAGGCGTGCTCGCTGTAGCGAGCGGGGCCAAACTGG